GTGCGCACACGCCATGCTTGTTGTTGGAGGTTCAAACCTCGTTCAATTAACTTAAAAAAATTCATTAGGCTTTAAATTTATTAAATTTAGTTCAGCTTCATTTTCAAAATCCGAGCATTTTTTGACATAGCTATTCATAATTAATGTAAAACACTGTAAAAACGTAATGCTTTTCACTCTTTCCTTGTCTATTTATAGATTAATTGTTTTCGTTCTCGCACGCAGGCTTCTGTCTTGTAGAAGCAGTGCAGTGGCTTAGTGTGATGCGCACACGCAGAAGCTAAGCTGTGCTTGTGGTGCGAGGTTCAATCCCCGCTTGGCGAAGTTTTTTAATGCAGTTTTAAGTGAAGAGCTTTCAGCTAAACTTTCAGTGCACATTTGCAGCTTGCAGCATATGAGCGCATTCAGTGAGCAACGCCTACTTAGCGCTTTGAGTGCTGTGAACTGTCATAAGCGCCACGCTTCAGCCTTTTCAATTAAAAAGTTTTTAATGTCAATTAATGCGGGGCGATGCTATGGGATGCGATGCGAATATCTCAAATTAGGCCCATCATGAAGGGGGAAAGTGTACCTTTTCGCCACTTGCCACTTCACTTCCGTGTATAACTGAAAATAACTCATCTTAGCATTGAGAGTGAGCGTGTGAGGGTGAGCTAACGGTAAATTAATGCTATATTTGCGCCTTGGCCAAAGAGTGCTTCAGCTTCAGCTAAAGGGCTAACAAAGTGGTTGACAGGGGGAGGGGGAGAGTCGCTCACTTCTTCAGTTCGCTGACATAAATTTAAAGCGTCTTTCGCCACGACCTAGGCGCAAATGCGTATTTATGAATTAATAAGGCAGCTGATGGAGCCTTGTGCTCGGCATTAGCCCTGCTGGGGCTGAAACTAATTGAAGGTGACAGACAGGGCGACAGACAGAGAGAGACAGAGACAGAGACAGGTGGCATCAGCAACATTGTTGCCTTTTGCCGGCTTAGCTGGCGCTGCCATTGATAATGAAGACGGACGGACGGAGAAGGCCTGCCTGGTGACGTCCTGGCCAAATCAAATCAAGGTAATTTAGCGTAAAAGACAAAAAGGCATCATTTCATCTCCATACGCTCACAGACTGCTACGCCTCATCTGAATTTATGGGCGTGGCATGGCTGTCTGTAATTTATATGCGTATATCTAACCTTTTCGTTTCTTTATTTTTGGGTTTGGATTTTTCGCTGTGCCTGACATCTGCGCACTTTGCATATTATGTTAGTCCTGGGCATATATAGTCAATAAACAGAACCCCCTCAAAAAAAAAAGAAAA